GGGGCCGGGGCCGCGGCGGGGTCTGCTGAGGGGTCGGTCCGGGGTCGGCTCTGCTCTGCCGGCTCCGGTCCGCCTTGTTTGTCTTCGCGTCCTTTCTCCGCGCACCGCCGTCTCGGGGCCCCGGTCGCACCGCCCCCCCACCAACCCAGCCCCAAGCCGGGCCGGCCGGGTGACGCGGCCCCTTTAAGACGGTTCACAACAATAAAGCCGCCTCGGCCGCCGCTTTATCCTCCGCGGCCGTCCCGCCCCCTGCGCCTGTCCCCATTGGAACTCCCCTCGGCCTCCGCGGCTCTCTCTCCGCATTGGCTGCGCCTGCAGACCTGTCTACGGGCCGCCGTCGCCCATTGGATCGCTGAGATGTTAGTCCTTTCCGGCTCACCCAATCATAAGGTGCAGCGAGTGGGACTGTCAATCACAAGGCGTCAGGAGCCAATCGGAACGCGAGAACCCCAGCGGGGCGGACCTTATGCAGAGTTTCGGGGCGGGCCCTGCGTTCATTCACAACATTCTTCCCCCGCCCCCCTCCGGCTAGACGGCGAGCCCCGGGCAGCTGGGTCTGCGCCCACACACGGCTTTGTTTACCGAGGGTCGCTTCCGGGTGCCAGGCGGGGACGGTCATCAAGGCCCAGCCGCGGGGACACAGGACGGCGGGTCTCCCGCCCGCGGGGCGGTGTGGCCCCGAGAAACCCACTCAGCCTCTCGGGGTTCAGGGTCAAGGGCAGACCCTGGCAGAGGGGGCGGCGGCCCACCCTTCCTGCTGGAGCTAGGGGAGGGTGCAGAAACGGAGCTCGGTTTGGGGGTTCCATAAAGCACCCCTTGAGCCTCCATCCGGGACTTGCCCCCACATCCTGCCTAGGCGCCACATATTATTTTGAGCGATAGGGATTTTCCTATTTTCCCACTGTTTGAATGCGTGCGGCCCTCTGACCACCGTGGCTGCGAGCTGGCCTCCCTCCCCCACCCCCACTCACCTCCTCATTCGTGTGGTATCCACGTGGGACCGTGTCAGTTTTCCTCGGACTGCGAGCGCTCAGGGCCCGAGCTGGGCACAGAGTCCTTCAGGACCTGGAACAGCGCCTCGCATGCAGTAGGTGCTCAAGCCATGACCTCCGGAGGAAGGGGCCACTTCTGTGCTGGCCTTTTGTTTTCTTCAGATGCTCTGCAGAGGGGGAGGGGGAGGCATGCTGGACCCTAAGAAGCCAGATTGTCCCCCACCCCTCACCCCCAAATCCCAGTCCAGGCCGCCCCAGCCCTTCCTTCCCCACCTGCAAGTCCTGGATGTCACCAAGTGGCCTTCCAGGCTGGCACACCTGTGCTTTCCATAGCAAACACACACTGCATCCCCGAGATGTCCCAGGGAAAGCGATGGTGACATAGTTCCCTAAGGATTTGTAGAGATTGGAACAGCTCACAGGTAGGCTGCAGGCCCAGTTTACACCCAGGGCCCTGGGATCCATCCCCAACACCACACACACACACACACACACACACACACACACACACACACACATTTAACACTGATTATGTGCTGAAATGACATTTTAGAAAAGATGTAGCTTAAATAAAATGTGGCATTAAAACAGGTCCCAAGCTGGGTGGCTCACTCCTGTCATCCTAGCTACTCAGGAGGCTGAGATCTGAGGATCACGGTTCAAAGCCAGCCTGGGCAGGAAAGTCCCTGAGACTCTTATCTCCAAATAACCACCAGAAAACCGGAAGTGGCGCCGTGGCTCAAGTGGTAGAGCGCTCGCCTTGAGCTGAAGAGCTGAGGGACAGCGCCCAGGCCCAGAGTTCAAGACCCGGGACCGACAAGAAAAAAAAAAAAAGCCGAGTGCTCCACAGTGAGAACCACAGAAATAGCGATAATAATAATAATAATACTTATTAATAATGATGATGCATGTGTAGCAGGTAGGCCCTGCTCTGACACAAGAGCCAGTGTTAACCTCCCCATATTGCTGCAAATGAGAGAGGAAACTGAAGCTCGGAGAGGAAGCTGCTGGCCTTGAGGTCACCTGGCAGGAAGAGCCAGCCTGGCGGAAGTCACGGGAGGGTCGGAGGGAGGTTGATCCGGAGCCTGGGGTCATTGGAACCCTGGGCCTGGCACAGGCAGGACCTGTCCGCGGAGCCACGCCCCGCCGACAACTTTGAAGCCACGACGTAGCTAGTGCACCACAGAGCCACGCCCCCAAGCAACCGCACAAGTGCCTGCCAAGCCACGCCCACAAAGGGAAACACGCCCACCAAAACACCCTATCAGAGCTCCTCCCCTGCTCTGCCACGCCCCCAGCCCTGGCCTTCTCTTAGAGGTATTGGGGATGACTTGGACGAAATTATGGGGCAGGAGTCACTGGGGCGCAGGAGGGATTTAGGGCGCTTCAATACAAACAGGACCCCTGTCTTACCTCTGAGCTCCTGTCAAGTGGGATCCAGGCCTTAAGCTGGGTCCTGAACCAGTGCAGGGGGTGGGGACTGAGGGAACAGAAAATGGGGTCTCTCAGGACTGGACACATTCGTATGTGATGAGGTCTGAACATGGACAGCACCCCCTTTCGCAGCTGGGAAGGGCAACCTGGTGCTCCTAGCAGCACCTTACAAGTGAGGAGAGAGAGGTTCAGAAAGGGTGAGCAGGCTGCCCTAGGCCACACAGCCCTGGGATGGGGGGTACAGGCACTGCGGGTCAGAAGGGTCAGGGGGCCACCGGGAGGTGAAGTGGCCTGGTTCCTCTCAAGCCTGTCCCTTGCTAAAAATACTGGTAGGAGAGGGAGGCGGTGGCGTGGGCTCCAGCCAGGCAGCTCACCCCCTCTGGGGACGCCAGCGAGCCCTGGCTTGGGAAACGGCGACGGCCACATTTCTTCCTCCTGCTGGCAGGGGTAGGGGTGAGCTCACTGTCTGGGCATGCAAAACTCCTGACCCCAAACCCGTGTGTCCCAGCCATCCTCCCTGCCTTCTGGAAGAAATAGGGCTTCCCTGGAGGCTCAGGTAGGGAGAGGAACAGGCTTCATCTCCATGCAGTGCAGATGGGGGTGGGGGGCTGGGGGCGTCAGGGGTGCCTGGCACCCCGCGGGCTGGCCAGAAGCCAGCCTGGGCGGCGGCGTGGCTGGCTTCCAGTCCCTTGCTGGCCCAGCATCTTCCTTTTGGAAACTCCTATTCATAGCAATGTCACCCCCTGCCCTGCAGGCGGGGGAGAGGAGGGCAGCGAGGACAATGGAGTCTGGAAAGCCAACATGGGGTGGTGGAAAGGGGATGTCCAGACAGAAGCTGCCAAGGGAGCAGCACAAATGACCCCCCCGCAGCTCCCCACTCTGAGGGGTGGGAGGGAGGTTCTGGGGCTCAGAGATGGGAAGTGACTTCGGCACGAAGGTCATACCGCCAGGGGTGGGGTGGGGTTCCCCAGAAGCAGGGAGCCTAAGAAGAGCAGGTGGCTTGACATTCCACCATCAAAGGAGTTCCACTGGGGGGCTGGTGACTCATGCCTGTAATCCTAGATCCTCAAGAGATTGAGGTTCAAAACCAGCCAGGGCAGGAAAGTCTATGAGGCGCTGATCTCCAATGAACCACCAAAAAGCCTGAAATGGAGCTGTGGCTCAAGTGGTAGAGTGCTAGCCTTGAGTGTAAAAGCTCAAGCCTTGCATTCAAGTCCTGGGACACACACACACACACATCCTGGGACACACACACACAGCTGGAAATCACACTCACACTCACACACACACACACATCCTGGGACACACACACACACACAGCTGGAAATGTGGCTTAGTGGTAGAGTGTTTGCCTAGTTCCTGGTTTCGATCCCTCAGTACCACAAAAACAGAAAGAGCTGTAAGTGGTGCTGTGGCTCAGCTGGCAGAGTGCTAGCCTTGAGCAAAACAGAAGCTCAGGGACAGTGCCCAGGCCCTGAGTTCAAGCCCCAGGAATGGCAAAAATAAAGAAAAACAAAACGAAGTTCCTAGGCTAGCCTGGGTGCCGCGCTCCCGGCAGGGCGCCCCCGTGCGGCAGAGCCAGGTGACGGGCGCCAGCAGACGGGGCCTGCTCTAGGCCTTCCTCCTTCCAGACAGCATTATTCAAATGATTTTCAAGCCGGGTGAGTGCCAGTGGCTCATGCCAGCTATTTAGGAGGCTGCCAGCTCTGGCAGGAAAGTCTGAGATGGTAATCCTCAATGAACCACCAAATGGCCAGAAGTGGAGCTGTGGCTCAACAGGTAGAGCGCTAGCCTAGAATGGACAAAGGCCCTGGGGTGCACAAAACCGAGGCCTGGCCCTGGCAGAGCAGGACCCCAAGCTTCAGAGGGATGGCGGTGAGATGTTGGCTGGACTGGGGCAGCTCCGTGGGGAGCCTTTGCCTGGGCCCAGCTGGCGGGGAGGAGCGCAGAAGGCTGGGGGTAGAGGAGGGATGCAGACAGGCACTGCGTGGGACAAACTGCCACCAAGAGACACACCTGCAATCCCAGCTACTCGGGAGGCTGAGATCTGAGAATCCCGGCTCAAAGCCAAGCTGGGGCAGGCAAGTCCTTGAGAGTATTTTTTGGTTGTATCTCTCCAGGCCACTTTCACTTTTTGGTGGTTCACTGGAGAGAGTCTCATGAACGTTCCTGCCCAGGCTGGCTTTGAACCGCGATCCTCAGCTCTCAGCCTCCTGAGTAGCTGGGATGACAGGCGTGAGCCACCAGCACCTGCCTTCCTTGAGACTCATCTCCAATTAACTACCAGAAAACTGGTAGTTAGTGGCTGGGGCACCACTGCGACGAGTGAGGCAAAGTTCTGTGGAGCTGGTGAGTAAGAGGTTTCTGGCTCAGGACCCAGTAGCCCCCTTCCCGTGGGGCTGAGGTGTAGGCGTTAGATGAAGACTCTGCACACATCAGAACAGCTGTTTTTTTGTTTTTGTTGGTCCTGTGGGCCTGAA